GCCCGGGCACATTCTATGGAAGCTAATCGTCTAATTTAAATCGTCCTTAAAATTAGGTGTACTATCCCTAAATATTGACTGAACTGCGTCAAAAAAACTAATGGGATTCAAACTGCGGAGAGTTTGAGCGCATGGTGCTCATCCGTACCAGTTTCTAGTGCAACAAAAAAAATATGCTCAGGTGCGCTAAACCGGGGGCTTTTCAATGGTGTGCTTACCGCTTTCTGCCGAGGTCAGGCTTCAAAGTTATCGGCAAATATATATATAAACGTCATTTTGAAGCGGGCGAGAAGTACCTCTGTTAAGGAAAGACATATTTTTCTATAAAAAAATGTCGCGAGAGCTCCTCGTTCCTTTTCGGGATCCAAGATGTCCAGAGGTTCGCTGTCGGTCTAAGCGGGGGGCCTGTTAAAACCTACCGTGGAAGCTCAAAGTCGATTTTGAGTTGAAAACCATCAAGTTAGTGTGGCTGTACCAATCAACAAAGACTTGGAATACTCCCCCAGTAGCAATAAATTAGCGGTTCCTGTTGACCAGTCCCTTACAAACCCAAGATATTATTCCCTCTCACCCCTCAAAAGTAAAATGGAATAAATTTGAAGTCAAATATTCTTATTCTGGGGTGCTTAACTATGGTAAAGTCATAACTATACAAGAGCATTATTGCTGCCACGTCAGATCCGAATGTTGAACCGATGAAAGCCTATTTAGACTACTTTGGACGTGATTCGAACTTTAGGACCACGGAGAAATGCTCAACATTCACTCCAATTTGCACACCTGTGACGACAACACCCTCTTCTGAAGAGTCTTCGCCCCACGAAATACAATTGGCAAGTACCTGGTCGGGTGTAAACTGGCGCACGCCTCGTGCCGCGATTTGGTGGCCAACTGCGAGACCGGAAGTGAGTCCAGTGCTGTTCAGCGTATCAATAGTTTCCAAGACCGTAGATTCTTTGAGCCTATGAATTTAGCTCTGGGACAAACTAGGTATGTGAGCATGGTGCTAACATATTTGTACAGCAGTCGTTGAGTGTTGGTGAGTGTGAGATGGACTGGCCGGGCTAGAGAGGAGGATATATTTGTGTGGTGAGGCAAAACTGGCAATAGAAGAGCAAAACAGGGTAAATCGCCAGTAACGAGCTACATTCCAAACTGAAGGTAGTCGGATCCATTTTGTGGTACATTCGAGGACAGAAATACCTTTAGACATGAATAAATTCGGGTCTACCAACGCTATGACTACCGAGGGGATCGTCTGTAGTTGGTTGTCTTTTTACGACCACGAGAGCTTTTTAGGTTTTGACTATGTTTCTACTTTGCATGTTTGCCGTGATTTACGGTATCAACTCGACTCTACTTGGATATGCTATATCACGACGCATGACCACATAATCTGATGTATTCGTTTAAACATGTGAACAAACTTTTCTCATATCTTCTGAGAAATGCCCACTACGCTAAATGACATGATGAATCCGCTTAGCTAACATTCAAACGCGCGTGGAGAATAAGCTGGCCACCCTCAGACGACCGCGGAATCCACAGCAGTAGGGAACCACCTCCCGTACCAGGCAGACCGAAGAGACCAGGGCGCCAGCGATCGAGGTACAATGTCTTGTCCCCCAGCTCCTCTACCGTAGACGTCCACGTGACGTTGCCGTTAGCAGGCACCTTGACCTCCTTGAGCTTGTCACCACCAGACTTAATCACCACAGACACATCGTACTTGTCAACACTCTCGAAGTAAACCGTGACGGAGCCATCACCCTTCTTCTTCCAGACACCGTAGCTTCCCAGGAATGCCTGGTCAACAGTGTTCAAACCCAGGGCGTCGTACAGAGTGCCGTCGTCGATCTCTCCGAGGTATTCGGTGGGACCACAAATGGGCTGAACGAATTCGGAAGCCATCCAGGCAATACCCGTAGGGTCGAAAATGGAGAGAATGAAGAGACCCATGTTCGAGTACTCGAGAGCTTTTTCCTTCTTGGTCACGGACTTGCCCATGTCAGTCGTGCCGTCCTCAATCAGCTGGTCAACAATCACACCGATCGTCTTTCGCAGCAGGTTACGGGTCTTGTACGAAGACGCACTCGTCTTGTTGGTCCAGATCTCACCCATGCAGTGGTTGGTAACAATAGGGATGTCATCAGTAATGATGGGCGACTTGCTCACCTCGACGCGCACATCATTCTGAGCAGCATTGGGCGTATTGTTGCGGATTTCGTAGACCTTGCCCATGACGCGGTTCGTGAGGGTTCTCATCTCGTAGCCACACGTACCGTTTTTAGTGTTGAGGAACGTGTCAAGCTCGATAGTGTCGCCGTTAAGCGCAGTAGTGTTGAGAGCGCCCGACTCACGAAGCATGAGCATGACGTTGTTCGAAGAAGCGAAAATGGTCTCACCGATCATGACAGCCATCATGACAATGGCCGACACGACAGCCAGAATGGTGGCCGAGAACTGAAGCTTGGGAGGGATCTTGATGCCGAGGCATGAGCAAATAGCCAGGGGCAAGTCAAGAATGACGATCTGCAACTGGAAGGCCTTGTCCATCAGCTTCTCTGTGTCGGTCGTCGGGATCGTGGTCTGCTTGTAACGCAGATAGTAAATAAGCGACTTGACGGCATTCACGACGTT